CAAATTTCTTGTTTCATAATTAGCTCCATAGCATAGAAAATAGATATTTTTGTTCTTCCTGAAGTATTTCAGATTATCCTCATTACTGTTTATGATGCATGCCAGAAAGATAATGATTACAAAATTTAAAATAGTGCCAAACTACTTAAAATTGTGGTGCAGTTCTTCAGATCCACAAGAAAAAGTTGTTTATGCGTAATGTTTAGACATAGGTGCAAAGTGAAGGTTTGTCACTTCCTCATACCAGGCTAATACGCTGACTTGAGTGCATTTAAAACTGTTGCTTCCAGAACACTGTATTTCCAAAATGGGTAGAGCCTTTGGAGATTGGTATAAGTTACTGGTGGCACGGAGAGAGATCCTCACAATTACCAATTTCCTAAGGGGTGGGAGAGACTTGAAGAAGGCTTGTTCTTTTGCATTAAGCTTCTGCCTGTTTTGATTTCAGTTGTGTAGGATGTAGGGAATGACTTTGTAAAATCAGGTGTTACTCAGCTGCTATACTTTCTTCCATCTTACTTACTGTATCTTTTAACCATGTCATAGATGAGCTGTTTAGTTTAGTTTCACACTTGTAATGTGGTCTTCATGATTCCTGTTTTCCCCTTCTTTCCTGCTGTATAGATTCCTAAAGGAAAGTCCAACTGTTCATTTCCTAAAAACTCTACTTTGTAAGTCTTCATCATGGCTTAATGAACTTTTCAGAGTTAGTTTTCTTCTTATCACTAATCGTGCCTGCCTCTGTCACTCTCCTGCTGCTGCTGAGTTGCTTGTATCTTTGACTCCATTCCAGGGCTAAGCGATGTTCTGCCAATTTGTGACCTGTTATCGCTACCCAGGTCCAATACGCTTGACTAAGATCCAGAGTAACTTATGTGTTTGGGAATTGAACTGCATACCTGGATGGATATTAAGAATATTTGGGCATGAAAAGTAATTTCACAATCGCCTGTTACAGGAGTATTTGCTTAAGTGTGTTGGCTAGAGCATGCTCAGATCTTCTTTTAATCATCTTCCTGGGTTAGGGCCGCTGCTTTCCTCTCTTAAATGATCTGTTATGTGATCTTTAAATGTAAATTTTATTCTTGTTGAATGTCAGATGTCTTGTGTTCCTAGGCCACCTCTTCCAAAATCTACCTTGTATTGTACCTGGTGATAATTCTGAATCTGGACATGCTCTGAGCAGGCATTCTGATAATATGCTGGAAGTCATTAGTCTCATTTGATTGGATTTTATTGCAAATTAATTTTTTGAATGGGTAGGTTTTGTTTATTGCCCTTAAGAGAGTACGACCTCACATGGTTAAGGGTAATTGTAAAGAAAACATTTTTCAGTTTCTCTTCTCAATTAACTTAATCGTGCATGTGTTATGGCACTAGCTGAAGTACCTTAAACTTTTTCCTGTTCTGGTAGAAATCGGGCAAAGGCGTGCAGAAGGCACTGCATGCAGCTCACGCAGGGGCAACGGCAGTATAACCGAACACTCGCTGCGAGAGTCCTTACGGACAGACTTCCATTTCACTGCATGTCGCAGCCTGGTTGGATAGATCCAAACTGGCCACTTTTTCCAGAGAGATTAATTTCCACAAAATGTTTTCCTTTAATAACCTCAAACCTAGGGCTTCTTGTCATGTTGGACTTGGTTAGGGATGTTTTTTCATACTTCTTTTGGTACCTTTAATAATACATGCCATCAGTGTTATTTTATAAAAACGGACTGCAGTACTTTGCTGTTGTTGAGACTTGTGTGGACTTGGGCAGAAAAAAGTTTAATTTCTAAAAACTGTTTCGGTCTCATTTCTGTAGTTGGTGAACAGACGTCCTTAGTGTGCTCTGGAGTAGAGATGGGGTTTTGGGAAGATATTTTCTGACTTAAGGATGTTGATCTACAGCCGTTCTGGTGACTTTTGTCTTGGCTGTTCACCTCTCGATCAACAGGACTGATCACAAGCGCAGTCTCAGTTTTCAGAAATGGTGGTTTCTTGTTTGTCTTATGACAGAGTGTGTCTTCTAATAGCCTGTGCTGCAGCTCTGTATGAGATGTGACGAGGTGATTATAAGGCTTAATTTCCATGGAAACGCTTCACTCCAGACTTGGCTATGTTCTGAGCGTGTGGGTGTCATTTATGCAAGTGTGTGAGTGAGCGTGTGTACTTGCATGAAACTATTAATCTCTAGACGTTTGTTAAGCCATTCTGCAGGTCTCTGTTTTAAAAGTTAACATCTTCCTTGCTTTTAAACACTTTTGTAGGTGAAGAACAGAATAAAGAAGCGCTGCAGGATGTGGAAGATGAAAACCAGTGAGACACAAAGGCCAACAAGAGAACCCATCTCTGACCACCCTTCCCCTTCCCCACAAAAACCCTCAGTGTCACTCTGAGAACCACCAAATCTGACTTTTACATTGGGTCTCAGAATTTAGGTTCCTGCCCTGTTGGGTTTCTTTATTTTTATTTTTTTTACACAGTTTAAAAGTTCTTAAAGGCAAGAGTGAATTTCTGTGGATTTTACTGGTGCCAGCTTTTAGGTTCTTTAAGACACTAACAGGACTGCGTAAAGGCTCTTTCAGCATTACTGTGTTGTCTCCTGCCAGCTGGGGTGAGGCTGCCGTTAGTGGTGGATGTTACACCTGAAGGCCGTTAGACTTGTAGGGGAGAGAGGTACCTACTATGGCAAGGTAGTGCGCATGTGGTGGCATTTTTCTTTTTTTATAACTGTTAAACTGAATTTTATACCAATGTTTAAACTTAATTGGGTGTTCAGCTTGAAGTTACAGGTTGCATTGGGACATACATTGTAGTGGTTTTACTGTATAAAAAGAAAAGTTTCCAAACTGCTGAAATGTTCCTGAAAAATCATGGTGCTGGTAACAGTTCAACAATCCGTGGCTGCTCATTCTTGCCTATTCTTTACTTTTCCTCCAAGCAGGTTAGCGTTGAAGGTGGCATTGATAAGCCTGCATGCGTGTTCAATATTTTTTTCTTTCTCCCTCCCCTTTCCCCATCTCCCTTCGCTCGCTCAACCTCTTTTGTTCAGTATGTGTAACTTGAAGCTAATTTGTACTACTGGATATCTGACTGGAGCCACAGATACAGAATCTGTATTGTTCTTACTGAAACACAGCATGGAATTAACATTAAACTTAAATAAAACAAACCTAAATTAAAAATGCCAAATATTACTATGACTTTCTTTTATATTTTAGTTATGTCAGCGAGAATAACTTTCCTTTGTTGCTTGTAATAAGAACATTTGGAGGGGGAGAGAGAGGAGTAACAGCATTGTTCCTCAGACGTGAGATAAACTAAGATCCCACTCTTATGCGTAAGTAGTAGAGTTGTGAAACCAGCAGCTCCTAGAAGACAGCCTGCTTTGGATCGGGAGGAGTCAGAAGCTCTGCCACACCACGTACTCAGTCTTTCCTTACCTGAATGCACAAAAACCCGTGATCTGGTTGGTGCGTTCCTCTCACTTGCCCTTACAGCACTCCTCATCCAGTCCAGTTGTGTGGATGGAGAGAAGGGAAACACATTAATGTCCACCCTACTTGGCTGGTGTCCTAGAAATCTTTCTAGGAATAATCTGCTCCTTGTAACAGACGGTAGCAGGGCTGCCCTCTGTGTTGGCAGATTGACCCCAAGAACTGAAGAGATTCAGTGGGGCTGTGTGACAAATGAGGAA